TAATTATGATTGATGATTATGATTGATGATTATGATTGATGATTATGATTGATGATTATGATTGATGATTATGATTGATGATTATGATTGATGATTATGATTGATGATTATGATTGATGATTATGATTGATAATTATGATTGATGATTATGATTGATGATTATGATTGATGATTATGATTGATGATTATGATTGATGATTATGATTGATGATTATGATTGATGATTATGATTGATAATTATGATTGATGATTATGATTGATGATTATGATTGATGATTATGATTGATGATTATGATTGATGATTATGATTGATGATTATGATTGATGATTATGATTGATGATTATGATTGATGATTATGATCGATGATTGTGAATGATGATTATGATTGATGATTATGATTGATGATTATGATTGATGATTATGATTGATGATTATGATTGATGATTATGATTGATGATTATGATTGATGATTATGATTGATGATTATGATTGATGATTATGATTGATGATTATGATTGATGATTATGATTGATGATTATGATTGATGATTATGATTGATGATTATGATTGATGATTATGATTGATGATTATGATTGATGATTATGATTGATGATTATGATTGATGATTATGATTGATGATTATGATTGATGATTATGATTGATGATTATGATTGATGATTATGATTGATGATTATGATTGATGATTATGATTGATGATTATGATTGATGATTATGATTGATGATTATGATTGATGATTATGATTGATGATTATGATTGATGATTATGATTGATGATTATGATTGATGATTATGATTGATGATTATGATTGATGATTATGATTGATGATTATGATTGATGATTATGATTGATGATTATGATTGATGATTATGATTGATGATTATGATTGATGATTATGATTGATGATTATGATTGATGATTATGATTGATGATTATGATTGATGATTATGATTAATGATTATGATTATGATTGATGATTATGATTGATGATTATGATTGATGATTATGATTGATGATTATGATTGATGATTATGATTGATGATTATGATTGATGATTATGATTGATGATTATGATTGATGATTATGATTGATGATTATGATTGATGATTATGATTGATGATTATGATTGATGATTATGATTGATGATTATGATTGATGATTATGATGGATGATTATGATGGATGATTATGATGGATGATTATGATGGATGATTATGATTGATGATTATGATTGATGATTATGATTGATGATTATGATTGATGATTATGATTATGATTGATGATTATGATTGATGATTATGATTGATGATTGTGATTGATGATTATGATTGATGATTATGATTGATGATTATGATTGATGATTATGATTGATGATTATGATTGATGATTATGATTGATGATTATGATTGATGATTATGATTGATGATTATGATTGATGATTATGATTGATGATTATGATTGATGATTATGATTGATGATTATGATTGATGATTATGATTGATGATTATGATTGATGATTATGATTGATGATTATGATTGATGATTATGATTGATGATTATGATTGATGATTATGATTGATGATTATGATTGATGATTATGATTGATGATTATGATTGATGATTATGATTGATGATTATGATTGATGATTATGATTGATATTTATTTTTATATATTTTTATTTATTTTTATTTATTTTTATTTATTTTTATTTATTTTTATTTATTTTTATTTATTTTTATTTATTTTTATTTATTTTTATTTATTTTTATTTATTTTTATTTATTTTTATTTATTTTTATTTATTTTTATTTATTTTTATTTATTTTTATTTATTTTTATTTATTTTTATTTATTTTTATTTATTTTTATTTATTTTTATTTATTTTTATTTATTTTTATTTATTTTTATTTATTTTTATTTATTTTTATTTATTTTTATTTATTTTTATTTATTTTTATTTATTTTTATTAATTTTTATTTATTTTTATTTATTTTTATTTATTTTTATTTATTTTTATTTATTTTTATTTATTTTTATTTATTTTTATTTATTTTTATTTATTTTTATTTATTTTTATTTATTTTTATTTATTTTTATTTATTTTTATTTATTTTTATTTATTTTTATTTATTTTTATTTATTTTTATTTATTTTTATTTATTTTTATTTATTTTTATTTATTTTTATTTATTTTTATTTATTTTTATTTATTTTTATTTATTTTTATTTATTTTTATTTATTTTTATTTATTTTTATTTATTTTTATTTATTTTTATTTATTTTTATTTATTTTTATTTATTTTTATTTATTTTTATTTATTTTCATTTATTTTTATTTATTTTTATTTATTTTTATTTATTTTTATTTATTTTTATTTATTTTTATTTATTTTTATTTATTTTTATTTATTTTTATTTATTTTTATTTATTTTTATTTATTTTTATTTATTTTTATTTATTTTTATTTATTTTTATTTATTTTTATTTATTTTTATTTATTTTTATTTATTTTTATTTATTTTTATTTATTTTTATTTATTTTTATTTATTTTTATTTATTTTTATTTATTTTTATTTATTTTTATTTATTTTTATTTATTTTTATTTATTTTTATTTATTTTTATTTATTTTTATTTATTTTTATTTATTTTTATTTATTTTTATTTATTTTTATTTATTTTTATTTATTTTTATTTATTTTTATTTATTTTTATTTATTTTTATTTATTTTTATTTATTTTTATTTATTTTTATTTATTTTTATTTATTTTTATTTATTTTTATTTATTTTTATTTATTTATTTATTTTTATTTATTTTTATTTATTTTTATTAATTTTTATTTATTTTTATTTATTTTCATTTATTTTTATTTAATTTTATTTATTTTTATTTATGTTTTTCTAAATTTAATTTTATATATTTTTGTGTATTTTTATTTCTTTCTCCATAAAAAATGTTACTCCCTGTTTCTCCACCCTTAAAATATGAAAATCCAAACACCCGAAAATATATCATTATTTATTTATGATGAGTAGCTGCAATTCATACCTTTGGAAAACCGATACTCCCATAAAAACTTTCACCCCACCCCCCGTTTCTCGCCCTTTAAATGTGAAAATATAAAAAATATTTAAGATGAGTAGCTACACTTCCAATTTTCAAGTTCCTATATTTAAAAAACCAATACCCCATACTAAACTTTACCCCCATTCCCTCCTCTTTAAAATGTGAAAATCCAAACACCCGGAAGCAAGTCATTATTTATGTATGATGAGTAGCTACAATTCCAATTTTTAAGTTGCTATCTTTAAAAAACCAATATTTAATAAAAACTTTAAACTTCCATTTCCCCTCCTTAAAATGTGAAAATCCTAAACACTTAAACAATTCATTACCTATTTATTTATGATGTGTAGCTATATTTCCAATTTTTAAATTCCTACCTTTAAAAAATCGATACTCGCATACAAACTTTTATCCCCTGTCCCCACTTGTTTCCCGCCCTAAAATATGAAAATTCAAAAACGATAACCTAAAAAAAATTATTTTTCTATACAAGCGTTCACTTCCCCGTTTCCTCCCCTTTAAATTTGAACATCCTAAAACCCTAAAACATGTTATTATTTATTTACGCTGTAGCTGTATTTCAAATTTTTATGTGTCTAACTTCAAACAACAAAGAGATACAAAGCATTAGAATTAAAATTTTTGAAAATTCTTTTTTGCATACGTTATAAAAAAAACCTATCTTATAAATTTTAGCTTCCTAGACTTAGAAGTTTTGGCGGTAAGATTGATGGGTCAGTCAGTCAATCAGAACAAATAATTTTATATATTTAGACTATTCTTATGGTTGGTTTCGAAATAAATTGGACTTTAATACAAAGCCTTCCTGAATTATAAAAAATATTGGCAACACTGTTGGACGTAAATTAATATGTTAAATGAAACAAAAATATTCTTTTGGACGTAAAATAGTAATATACGGATGCAAGATAGATATTAATATAAAAGGAGTCAAAGTGGTCGGAAAATAAAAAAAAAACGTATATAATTTTTTAACGATATGGTCATAAAAAACATATTTTGAGACAATTAATTTTTAGTAGTTTCAATATACTCGATGAAATCTATTCTAAACACACTGTTTCCAGAGACGCAAAATGTATGGGTTATGAAAGGACGCAATATTGCTGCGGGATGTATATATATATATATATATATATATATATATATATATATATATATATATATATATATATATATATATATATATATATATATATATATATATATATATATATATATCCTAATTTAAATATAACAGTAAATACAATTATCTAAACATTCTGTGTATTTAAGGGATGCTATAATATTCATTTATTGCAATAATGTTCACAGAAATTATTTCTTCTAGGATATTTATTTTATAAAAATATTCATAGAGAACATTCTTAAAGTAGAATATTGTCACCTTGTCAGAATATTCTTAAAATATTTTGTGCTGTCTGGGTAATGGATACTCATAATAATGTCGTAAGAATTTACATAGCGAATTTAAAGGTGTTTTTTGAATAAGACTATAAGACGCTTTTTAAATTTAACCAAACCTAAGATTTATTTGTCTAGCAAGTAATTACCGGTGTAGTTCTAGGAAATACATTAAAGAACGCTCCCGGAAAGCGTTTTACAGAACTCGCTGGCTTTCAAGATAGTCTACTACTTTCACTTTCCGGTTTTTTATTTTTGTTGGATAAATAACTATTAAATCCAAATTAAAAATATAAATTATAAGACAGCTGCCTAGAACCTGAACACGGACGTTCAATAACAAAGAACTAATCAAATTTTTTCAGTAAATTTACTCCTTCCTACATTATGAATTTAGAAATTGCATGATTCCTGTGAAAGATATTTTTAACTACAGTAGTTATTTATTAAGACAATATATATAATTAATTTATCTGTTTTAGAAGCAGCTATACAATGTCAATACGACCAGCTTCTACTGTAGGTACCAAAAGTAAGTATTAATTTATATATAGCAAAATATTTATTACCACCGAACATCAACAAGACAAGAAGGCTCACTCTAAGGTCCTCCCCCATTGTTTCCGGTCTCGCTCACTCTCTGATATGCCACTCTTCCTTGATGTATTTTGGCCAATTTCGGTATTTGGGTGCTCCTGTGACGGAATGATTATACATGTGGTGATGGTACGTATCGAAACGGAGATCGAAACGGCGTGTTTGATAATTAAACAAACAATCATTATCGTGGTTAATTGATGACGTTATTTCCATAGTAATATCCCTTCGGGGAGATTTAAATATATCAGCTATATTAATAAGTATTGTGTGAGAATTTTGTATCTTAAAAATATAAAAATTCCGGTGATGTGTTATGTAGATCCCAGCTAGCAAGAGACGTCATTTCACGTCATAATCACGTTGAATTTTGGTCAAATACGTAAATGTGAATTTTTGACGCAAAAATAATATAATGACGTAATTTTAGAACCAATTTGACATGTAAACACAGTATTTGCGAACAAAATAAACCTATTTATGTCACTAATGCACTGGGAGTTTTTGTTATTTATTTTTAAATAAATAGATGGTAATTCATACAACATAGTTTTTTTGCGGTCATTGTAACACCAAAATAAGACGAATTATGACGTCATTTAAAGACCAGTTTGTCATGTTCCGAATTGAGGCGTTAAACTCCTCACGTATACATGTCGATTCTATACCTTCATTACATTCAACTTATTAATAAAAGTATCTTTAGTGTTTGTATTAATTCATGATCCTCATGTTAAATCTAGGGATTTTTGGAATTTTCCTTTTCACAAGAAATTTTATGTTGTTGACACTGGAAATGTCAGATGTCATGTCATTGTCCAAGGTTCGCGGTTTGCGATATTTGCATTTGCTTTGCGCTTTTTGTAACATTCACCATAACTAACATTTGATAGTAAGTTCCTAATTATAAATAATTAATGTTTGTGTATTTTCTGTTTTATAAAATGGTGTATTTAAAGCTGGTTTTATTATTTATGGAAATATTTGGCATACCGTGTAAATTTTTTAAATTCGTTTTGTGTTCCTAAAATTCCAAACCTGAAAATTACATGTTTTTTTTTTCGATTTATGGCCTAGGCGTATAAACCTAATATACTATTCTCAGTTTCGTGTTTAAATTCTCAATCATGTATGTTCTGTGTAGGCTTTGTTACTGTTTCTCAGCGCCACTTCAGGAACAGCACTGTTATTTAGAACCTGAAACAACCGGGAAGCCTAAATACCACCACTTGTCACTTAATGTAACAACCAACTAGCCTAAGGACCATTTGTAACTACTGATAGGTCCTTAGCTGCTGTTGCTAATATACTATTAAGGGATTAGGGTAGCACCGTCACCAGCCAAAGGATCCTGGAGCATAGAAGGAACATCCATTCACCAGTGGCAAATAAAAAAATTAAAAAAAATAAATTAAAAGCATAAAAATTATCCCTTAATAGCATAGTCCTGCGGTTCTTGACAACTAATTTTAGACTCTTTTAGTCCTAAGGGGAAAAAACGCCAACTTCTCAAATTCTCGGAATATTTGCCTGGTTTTGAAAAGGGGAGAAGAGATTAATAATAAGTATTAAAACATTAACAAATGTATATTTACAGTAAGTACAAAATTTGACTAAAAGTCTTAAGAAAGAATGAATAAAATTACATTTAGGGAATAAAGCACTACTTGTTAATAGATACAAACTTTAAATAAAGATTTTAAGATAACGAGATAAACGTTTTATTAAATAATAAGTTTGGACTTATTAACAATTATAAATAGCACTGGAAAACTTTAACTACATAATATTATAAAAATATGTATAAGATAAATATGATAATTCGGGACGAAAATGTAAAATTGGCATTTATATGAAAATTAATTAACTACTATCAAACAATACACTTTAAAAATAAGTTAAAGATATTTTCCCATAATTCACAATTCGTACACAAAACTTTAATCTAGACATAACATTGTTTTGGAATCTAAATTGTCCAAAAAAAAGAGAGCTTTCGCCTTCGGCGAAAGTTCTGGACCTTAGTCCGCACTCGATTGAGAGTCTTTCTTTCTGTCTCCTCTCTATATAAACCAAAATTTACGTGATGGTTGTATTTCTAAAAATGTCATACTCAATGTAGCCATTGACTAGATTAATAACCTGATTGTTTGTTTCATTTTTATACGTGCCTTTATTTTTAATTTTTAATTTAAAACATTAAAATACTTTTTTCAAATAATCATAATGCCAATTATTACAAACCCAACATTGAATGGTCAAGTGAGGAATCCTGCCAAGGCATCAGAATTAATTTTAAATAATTAAATTTCATAAAAAAAATATCCCGGCCAACGGTGGCATTCGAACCTGGGACTCTTGGATCCGCAGGCAGAGACTCTACCACTGAGCCACCCACCGAATTTTATATGCTTTTTTAAGCTAGATTTAACTAATTTTTAGCATGCTGAATATCTAATAATACAATTTTATAATTATTGGAATCATATAAAAATTTGAAACTGGCCAAATTTTTCCATTAAAAAAAACGATTCTAATATTGTAGATTGTAGAGAGATTAATCTTTACACCTATTTTAATATTTTAGATGAGGTTAAAGACCACACAGATGCCTCTATTTAAACAGAAATAGGTAAATTCTATTAAAATATACATATAAATGAGATTGTTCCAATTATTTTTTAATACAGGTATCAGGAAGGGACTGACAGTTTCGGTATGATAACGACGCAAGGGGTAAGTGGCAAATGGTAGATTTGCTGTCCAGAAACTAGAAAATGTTAGGCCCAAAATCGTAGCTGTTTGCCTAGACGAGTAGCTAATGAATCTTCGTCTAGATGAATACAATCTTGGATTTCTCCCGCGGAAAACTTTTATTTCTTGCTAACTATTACGAATGGATGGCCCTGTATTGTATACATATGAGCAGGGAACATAATAGAATGCTGCTTCTTCCTCCACTAAAACGCCGGCGTAAGTATGTGATTACTGAATAGTCACGAGACCGTTTAGTCTGTCTCACGAAACCTATCGCATGCGCATTATCGTCTCTTTGTTTGCTACTTTATGCGTATTGACTATCTTCGAAATGCCGAATCATCGGTGTGTTCATGATAAAAACAGGAAAAAAATTATGCTCCATGTGGACAAAACAAATGTCGGTTCTAAAAAATTAGAATATTTTCGCATCAGTGAACATCAGGAATTACTGAAAAATTCATTATTTACAATTTAGATTTATCTAATCCTAAATTTCTTTCTAGTATTTGTGTTACGTGTCGTCAAATTCTTCAAGAGCACGAAGAGAAATTATTAGAAGATTGTTCAAAAATATGCAGAATTATCAAGATATCTGTTTACAAAGAATACAAGCAATACCTGTTGGTGACTCTATTAGTAATTGTTACATCTACTTAACTGGTAAACACCCCGAACATTCAAATGTGAAGAAAAAATTGCCAATCGGTAAATCACTGGATCTTTTGATAAAAATTACTCCAGGCAATGGTATGTATGGATCTCAGAATTCCAGTATTACTGAAATTTATAAGAAAAAAACTGGATACAGAAACAAGAAATCGAAATACAATGACCATTTGCCAAGTTTGTTATGAAGAAGTTAGGAAAAGGGAAAAATCATCCCTGTACCAGGAAGAAAAGCAACAGGAGCAGTTATGTGCCTCTTTGCTCTTCCAAAACTATGATAACATGAAATTTTCGCTAGCCAACTCTCGGAAATCTGTAATCTTAAGTACACAGGGCCGCAAGGAAACTATTTTGCTGAAATCGTCATACAAACCTAAAATTTTCTCTGCTGAAAGAATGAATACCTATTAAGTAGAATATAGTGCTTCCGTGACGCAAATTAAAAATTTAAGTCATTTTATTAGGGCCAATATTGGAAGGAAAGCGGTTCCAGCTTACTATTCTATTAAAGTTTCAAAATGGGCCAAGTTATTAGAAAATTTATATAATCCCGATTTTTAGGAATTTGATGTTTAAAGAAGTCTTTTAAAGACCTGTAGTTTTGGGCAACGCTTAGAAAATTTTGAAAAATATAATAGACGAAACTGATGGCGGACAATGGTTTTTCAAAATATGAATGTCGGTGATTCCCAAAAGTTATGTTTCTGATTATTTAAGTTATCAAAATGACGAAAGTTCATCTGCTAAAAAGAGAAAATTTAACAAATTCACAAGTGTGCACAAGCTTATAATATTGGCTCTCGTCACCGGCATTAAAGAGACGTACGAAAACTTATTATCAACGATATTTCCAAAAATTTGTTTCTGACTTAAAGTTGCTACTTCTTGTCCTTAATGCTTCATCAGGTTACAAGATTTACGAGATCGCAAGGATCTAGAAGATCAAACACCAACAAATGATCATGTTGGCCCAGAAAAGAGTGATGAATCCTTCAGCAATAAAACTTATGGGGATCTGCGGCATGATTATAAAAAAATTACTCCTTCTGGAAGTTAAAAAATATATCTGGACATAGTCAAAGTACTATACACGCTTCGTTATTTAACCATGCTGACGACATAACAGTGGTACACAAATGTGTAATCTCAGAATTCCATATATTGCAAGGATTTGTGAACCATTTATTTCGGAAAGGTCTTGTACTGCTACTTGGTAGGAAAATGGCTTCAAAATGGCATCATTGTTTGAACCTAGTCTCGAAGAATTATCATGGGGAAGCGTTTAAAGGCAATGCGAGTCGAAAAATATTGAAATCATCAGACAAAGTACTAGATCGTGAAATCTGCCAGCACGTAAGGGGACCATTCCCTCTTCTACCATTTGTGGCAGCATTTAAAGCCATGGATTAAATCGAGCATTCTTGTTTTGGAGTAATGCGAATTCAATCTAATGTAAATAAGCATATGAGGGATCTGAAGAAAGCTCTTCTTGCTATCAGTTTGACCAAA